TTATGAAAGACCATGATTCAGACTATGGATATTTAAAACTGTTACAAATTAGTACACTAATGGCTTCTCCTGAAAATGAGCAAATACCACTGCATTAGCCCATTTTTATGTTGAAATGACAAAATGCCTAAATCCGGCTACTCTGTAAAGAAGCGAAGTGTATTTGGCCTACGGTTCTGGGGGTTAAGAGCATGGCATCAGCATCTTCTGTGTTCATCCCTCCTAGCTGTGTCACAACGTGAGGAAGAAACAGATAAGGAAGTGTTTGTGTGCAGAAAGGGAGAGAAATAACGTGGTGAAACAGGAAGTGAGTGTCTGGGGAGGAGCTGGATTGAGGAGACTTCCTGTGAGGGCCCAAATGCACTCACTAGGAAGCATTAGTCCCTCCTAAAGACCTGATCATCTCCCACTAGGCCCTACCTCTTAAAGTCTCCACATCTTAATGCCACCCCATTGGCACTTCACTTCCAGCACATGGACCTTTGGAGGCCATATTAAACTACATGCAAACATTAGCAGATACTAATAGGTGATTTTATACAAAAGGAAATAAACTACTATCTTCCTACTATGCTTTAAATCTCAAATGTGACCCATAGGGTCATGTGTTGAAGACTTGGTTTCTAGCTGATGGCACTATATAAGGAAGTAGAAACGTAGGACATGGAGCCTAGTTGAAGCAGTAGATCATTGCAGTTATACTCTTGAGGATTTTATTTAGACTCCAGTCCCTTCCTCCCCTCTCTCTACCTCCTCTCCCTCTCTCTCCTTCTCTCTCCCTCTCCCTCTCTCTGTCTCTCTTTCTGTCTCTCTCCCCCCATCCACCTCTTCTTTCTCCTTACCATAAACTCAGCAGGTTTATTTTGCTAAATCCTTCCGCCATGATGTACTCCCCACCATAGGTCTAAAAGTAATTGGGCCAAGCAACCATATGCTGAAACCTCTGAACCCAAAAGCCAAAACAAATCTTTCTTTCTTTAAGTTGATTTCTCTCAGATATTTGAAGCCAAACTGACCGACATACCATCCATTGGGAAAATAATGTGTTCTGTCTCTCTCAAAACGTTTGCACTTCATCATTCTCAGGATAGTATTGTAAAGTCCCTATTGAGTAGCTAGTACTCAAAAATTAGCTCATAATTATTAGACTATGTTTATGTTCAGCTGTTAATTAAAATTTTAATTTATTCATACCGTGACATTTGCTCAAAGATATTCATCATGGAGAGTTGCTATAAAGCTCCAAGATTATATTAGGAAGACCTTTTCTAGGGATAGATCTGAAGGTAGGTGAACATTTTGATTATTAACCTCAGGCAGGGTCACGTGTTCACTAACTGATTCCCACCAGTAAAGGTGGAGGGATTCATACAATTGATGTGCTAAATACAGGCTTCACATCTGACTTTCAGGAGAGGAGCTTAGCAGGACCAGCATCATAATATACAAATCATCATTAAGGTTTAATGTTTTTTCTCTCCCAAGAGAATTTGCACTTCAATAATTAATGAGGGATTAAGCCAATTAAAGGAAAACCTATCTATAAGGCTAGGACTTCGCACAGTATTCAAACTCGTGGGCTAGTTATGTAGGAGAGCAAGAGACCTTCTATAAAAGCTTCAAACTGGTCCATGGGAGTACAGCCTTCCCTGCACCACACAGGTAAGTAGACAGTCACACTGAGGTTTCTTACCCTGGCTATTCTGTAAGAATGGGGAAAATAGCACTGATTTCAATGCATTTTCCTATCGTTCATCCATCCCTGGTTCTATATTTGCCTCTGAATGTTAACCACATCCCTCACCCTACATTCACATCTGTAGGAGAGTGTACAAGTAAGTAATACAAAGAAATGTCCTATGAAAAGATTTAGCTCCCATTTGATAATGTCCAATAGGTTATTTTAGATAAGCAAGTTATGAGAAAATTCTTGTTTGTTTTAGTCAATGTGTACTTAGTAAAGAGAAATGAGAGAAAAATAAAACTCAATAGTGCAAATCAAAAGTTTTTAGTCTTTACAATAATAACAGAGAAACAAGTAAAGATGGTTAGGCTTAGGGTGATAAACACATCATTTTTCTTAATGAACTGTTCAGTGAAGACCATCAGTGATCTCGTTGGGGCGCATGTATGTGAGAATGGGATGTTTCTGCTTTGCTTTCAGAACGTTCCAGCTGATGACCCATTACCTCTGATAGAGTATGGAGGGGGCAATATCAGTGATTCAGAACGAAGCTTATCCTTTAGTAAATAATCACTGCATTTAATCAACCACTTGTTGTACTTGTCTCTGGTTCATTTGCCAAAAGCATAATGCAGAATACTTAAACTAGCAACTCCTTGGTCAGACATGATGAATAGTATTGTACAGTGTCTTCGAATGTGACACTCAGAGTGCGACAAATATCAGTATAATCTCCATTGCTTATACCTCTTGTAGAAACTTGTGTCCAGCATTTAAAATGAGTATAAGGGTTACTTATTACATGTTGCTTTAACCTTAGAATATAATTTTAATTTATATTATCAGAAAGAAAACTTTTTGGCTTTTCATAGAAATGTGAAAAGAAAAAATAGAAATAGATATAAAATAATTTATAAATATACATAAGTATATATTCATCTATAAACAGGGATATATGTATATACACATATATAAGTCATAAAAGCATTCTTGTACAAAGGTAAGCACTCAGCCACATAAATCATGTAATTCTAGCTCATTGCGTTTTGCTATGAAAAGGCAATAAGCACAGTTGGCATGAGGTGGGGGGGATGTGTTGTAGGAGGAGTCAGAAGACCAAATTCATACAGACTCAGAGAATCTGCTCTGTGTCATCTCTAAAAGTAGTTTGCATAGGATCCTTGACTTCAGATTTCAGAGGTCCCTAGATTCTAATATGCTGTAACATTTTGTATAATCTGGCATTTGTGTAAATCTAGGTGAATCCAATTTAAACAGTACCAAATGATCGCTGGTCTTATATTTCCATCAGCATTGGAATCATATTTACAGATAGAAAAAAAATTTAAGAAAAAAAGTTCTCTTGCAAACATAGCCTGAATCCCAAATTATAAGGACTTTATTGTACCTGCAAAAAATATGACAACTATATACATGTGTAATGGAAAGAGAAACTGGAAATCAGCCAGGTGATTTGAGTAGGATGATGGGCTTCTGAAAAGCTAAGTTTTCATCTTAATGTTGTTTTTATTACACATCTTAAATTTTTATCCTAAATAAAAGCACAAAACATAAGAGTATTTGATAATTTTTAAAATACCACGTTTTGCTTAAAAATATTGTGAAGTGCATTGGTTATCCAAATAGCATATTTAAAACCATTCAGTTTGGAAATTCATTCTTTCCTGTTACCAAAAGCCTAGTTTAAAAAACAAAACTAGCTCTGTCTTTTTCTGCAGCTAGGTCAGTCTGTATGCTCATCCTTCAGAACTTTAACTGATTTGTAAAAAGTGATGATCGATTCCCCATGGAGTAAACTGCTATTCTGAGGGAAATGAAAGTGGGCTCACAGGGCCACAGACCTTCCACCTGCCCTGTGAATTGTATCCAAGAAATTTGTATGATTTGTGTAGACTTCTTGAACCTACATCATACCAAGGACCCCCCTTGGCTCTGTAATATTGAATGAAGGAGAGAAAAATTTTGCAAAGGCAAATGAGAAAGCATTCTATTTAATTGGTTTATATGACAACATATAGTTTTGGGAAGAAAATCTTTAGTGATCTCTTGAAAATATTGACAGATATTGCCAGACACATGTACAATGAAAAATGCAAACTTTGTATGTAGTCTTTTGTGGCTATAATATGCTTCATACCTTCTGTATGACAGTTATAATTTGAGTCATGAAGAATAGCAGGACTTCTGTGGAAACTTCTGACTTTTGACCACTGTTTCTTCAGAATTATTAATTAGTTTAGCATTGGCATGCCAGGAAAGTTTTCATGAAACCTAACTAGGGCTAGCTTAAAACTTGGCATTTGTGCTTGGAAAAAATTCATCTTGAGTTTGCTTAAAGGTCTGTGAAACCTCCCAGTGACCCTTTCTACAGTGTGGTGGCTCCTGTGATATCTGAAACCAAGAATGTTTTGTGAAGGGCTTGGGTTTCATTTGGAAAGCCATATCTAATCCTTCATATGGTCTAATGAATTAACAGGCAGGTCCTCCATGGATCCTCATGAACACAGTGCTGTGCTTGATATCTAGGACTTTGACTACAAAGTAAAATTATACCTCCTAACTTGTCATTTAAAAAATGTTTCATGTAGATTTTTAAAATGCTCTTTCTGTGTGTAATCTATTCTTCAGTCATCACTGATACCAAAACAAGCATATACCATGCTTACTTTTTGAAGCTAGGGGGCAATTTTTTTGTTAAATGGATAACTATTATATCTATTTTATTAATATTATTCCACTCTCTAAAATCCTTTTATGCATTTTTAAAATCAAGAGAAATCTAAGAATAGAGAGTTTTGACCAGGTGGGTCCAGGGAAAGTTCCTCTCAAATAGCACTGGTGTTCCAGTGGGGCACTGGTGGTCAGGCATCTCACTCTCACACAGTTCCCCCTCCACTTCTCTGCTGCACATGGGAACTGTTTCCATAATGATCAGATATTGGCATTAGATAACCAAAAAATTGCCAAAAGTATTACAAAATAACAAAATATCAAATTTCAAAGAAGGCCTATCCTATAACAAAATAGGTGAGAGGCTTAAATTAGAATAATTCTCTTTGTCTTCTTTATTGAATCCTTTAGAGGTTGTTTTAGCATAACTGAATTTTTAAATTTTCTTATTATAAGGATTTGTTGCTAATGTTTTATTGACTGTTTTTTTTAACCTCAAATTCTTAGGTAAAATGGCTGAGAAGACTTGGCATTCTTTATCATTAAATCTGTTTAGGCGGAAGCAGTTGCGTGAGGGATTCTTGCTGCCCTCTGTGCTGTGGAGCAAAGCTTGTTCCTCTCCCGGTCAGCCACGCAGGTTGAATTGACCAAAGCAATGGTTATGGAGAAGCCTAGTCCCCTGCTGGTCGGGCGGGAATTTGTGAAACAGTATTACACACTGCTGAACCGAGCCCCTGACATGCTCCATAGATTTTATGGCAAGAACTCTTCCTATGTCCATGGGGGACTGGATTCAAATGGAAAGCCAGCAGATGCAGTCTATGGACAGAAAGAAATTCATAGGAAAGTGATGTCACAAAACTTTACCAACTGCCACACCAAGATTCGCCATGTTGATGCACACGCTACTCTGAATGATGGCGTGGTGGTCCAGGTGATGGGACTGCTCTCCAACAATAACCAGGCTCTGCGGAGATTCATGCAAACATTTGTCCTTGCTCCTGAGGGCTCTGCTGCAAATAAATTCTATGTTCATAATGATATCTTCAGATACCAAGATGAGGTCTTTGGTGGCTTTGTTACTGAGCCTCAGGAAGAGTCTGAGGAAGAAGTAGAAGAACCTGAAGAGAGACAGCAGACGCCTGAAGTGGTACCTGATGACTCTGGAACTTTCTATGATCAGACTGTCCGCAATGACTTGGAAGAACACTTAGAGGAGCCTGTTGCTGAGCCAGAGCCTGATCCTGAACCAGAACCACAGCAGGAACCTGTATCTGAAATCCAAGAGGAAAAGTGTGACCCGGTATTAGAAGAAACTGCTCCTGAGGATGCTCAGAAGAGTTCCTCTCCAGCACCTGCAGACATCGCTCAGACTGTGCGGGAAGACTTGAGGACATTTTCTTGGGCATCTGTGACCAGTAAGAATCTTCCTCCAAGTGGAGCTGTTTCAGGTCCTGGGATACCACCTCATGTTGTTAAAGTGCCAGCTTCACAGCCCCCTCTAGAGTCTAAACCTGAATCTCAGACTCCACCACAGAGGCCTCAGAGGGACCAAAGAGTTCGAGAACAACGAATAAATCTTCCTCCGCAGAGAGGACCCAGGCCAATCCGCGAGACTGGTGAGAAAGGTGGTGTTGAACAGCGAAGAACTGTGAGACACCCTGACAGTCACCAATTCTTCATTGGCAACTTCCCTCATGCGGTGGACAAATCAGAACTTAAGGATTTCTTCCAAAGTTACGGGAATGTGGTGGAGCTGCGCATCAACAGCGGCCGGAAGTTACCCAATTTCGGCTTTGTCTTGTTTGATGATTCTGAGCCTGTTGAGAAGGTCCTCAGCAACAGGCCTACCATGTTCAGAGGTGAAGCTCGCCTAAATGTGGAAGAGAAGAAGACTCGAGCTGCCAGGGAAGGAGACCGCCGAGATAACCGCCTGCGGGGACCTGGAGGCCCTCGAGGTGGGCTGAGTGGTGGAACGAGAGGCCCTCCCCGTGGAGGCATGGTGCAGAAACCAGGATTTGGAGTGGGAAGGGGGATTGCTCCAAGGCAGTGAATTGCTTATCACTGATCTTCACGTAGCATATAAACCCCAGCTCCTGCAGAATGGTGAATTTCTTCAACCAGCCTTTGCTACCTTGGAGTATGATGATTCTAGTCAATTATAAACTGCTTAAGTTTGTACAATTTTATTTCGTTTTGTGTTACTGGTGTCTGCCCTTCCTTCTCCTGGCCCTTTAGTCCTTCAATTCCAATTTTGTGGAATGATATTTTAGGAGTAATGGATTTTTAAAGAAGAAAAAAGACTGAATTTCCTTGCTTACTTTGCATATACAGACTGGATTTTTTTTAAAAACAGCCATTTCCCCAAAGGAATATGTCTCGTTTATTACTGACATTTGGTATGTTCATTCATTGGAATATTTCTTATTTTCTATATGTTTCAAAATCCTGTGACAAATACAGGCTTTGATACACATTTTGGAGGCAGGAATAATCCAAATTGTTTCTTGAGTCATGACTACCTTCTGATGTGGAAAAAATGCCATTTGGAACATTTAACAAGTTTGATTCTCACTGGTGTTAGTTATCCGAATAAAAGGTGTTAATAGAATTTTTTTCTTTTGATACGTGATCACAAAATGATTCTAAAACCTACTGTTTTTACCACTGAAATTTAAATTGTGAGATAGGTTTTAAATGTTTAAAATGCAACTGATAGACTTTCTTGAAATGTTAGATTTTTTTGAAGTAGTTTTTTTCATGTTTCATTTGTATTTGTAAAAAGAAAAAGAAAATAAGCAAAAAAACCCAAAATCCTCCAAATCTGAATAACAAAAACCAGAGCAAACTGTTGTGCCTTCTATTTATCTTTGACTCTAGTCTTGGCAATTGTTTAAAGAAAAATAATAAAAATTCTAGATTTGTTTTAAAATAAATAAATAAATAAATAAATAATTCTGTTTAAACATCATTGTCTTAGGATGTATTTCTATTTTAAGAATCAGTAGAGAGAATTGTAGGAAAAGTGATCAGTAGGAGGCTTGTTAAGGAAATACATATGTGTGTGTTTCAGTTGTTTTGAGCCACTCTACAGCCATAGAGAGAAAATATTGTTCATATTGGTGATTAATGCTTACCATCAGGAATTTAGGACAAGTTCTATAAGGGTCAAAAAAGAAATTGAGACTGGGCCCAGTGGCTCAAGCCGATAATCCTAGCTGCCTAGAAGTTAGAGATCCAGAGGATCACAGTTCAAGGTCAGTTCAGGCAAAAGAGACCCCATCTGAACCAATAAAAGCTGGATGCGATGGCACACCTCTCATACCAGTGTCATACCAGCTACCTGGGAAGCATAAACAGGAGGATCAAGGTCCAAGCCCATCTGAGCATAAAGCGAGACACTATCTCAAAAATAACTAAAGCAAAAAGGACTGGCAGTATGACTCAAGTAGTAGAGCTCCTGCCTAGAAAGAGCAAGGCCCTGAGTTCAAACCCACATACTTCAAAAAAAACAACAAAAAAATTCTAGTTAGATAACTTTGATATGTAGACATTCAAACTTTCTATTGATTAGTTTTGATCATGTACAGCCATGTAATGTTTAATTTTTAGAAAAACATTTGAATGTCTTAACAATAAAGATAGCTTTATCAATTGATACTTTAAAGGATAAGCCTGTCATTCACCCACAATGCTTTCACTGACTAGTATGTCTGTAACCCAAGAGACTTCCTGGGCAAGGAGGAGTCAGTGTCACAAATCATATGGGTGATCCAAGCCTGCATAAAGTCTGCCTTACAGAGGCTTTTTGTTTTCCTTCAGGCAACTGAGGGATAAATATATTTCTTATAAATTTCTTTTTTAAGATGAGATCTTGCAACATAGTCCTGGCTGGACTTGAACTCATGCTCCTCATGGAATTATGGGCATATATTTGACCAATAGGAAGAGACACTTTTCACTGCGTGCAAAAGCAGTGCAGGGCATGAGCTGTGGACATGCACCTAGAAGCAACATGAGCCATGTAGTTCCCTGACCTTGTGCTCTCAGCTCCCACTTAGGTGTTTCAGGTCCTTCAATAAGCCCTTAAATTTTGGGAGATATGCTTGTGCAAAGCTCCAGTTTGTTTAATAACATCATAATCACTCAACAGCAGTTGATTTTACTTCTCTCTGCTTATGTTATGGCAAACGTCTTCTCCTTCTGCATGAGCAGTCATTTCTGATGAAATAATTTTATTATAGAAAGTATGCATTTGGAGGAAGGGGAGCCTTGTTCTCTGAGGAAAGCTTAGAGGATGATGATCAGCCATGCTACATTGTATGGAGAGCAGACAGGCCCTGTTAACTTGCTTTTCATGGTAAAGGTGGCTTAACACAACAAAAAATAGATTAGGCCTATCAAAAGGCCAAAGACAATGACATCATTACCTCTTGCTGAGGTCACTAAGAAAAGTGATTTCATTTTGGAAAAAAAGTAAATAAAAAACACTCTGGCCAATATTCTATCATTAAACTATGCAAAGAATTTTTTTTCTCATTCCATGTAGGTAAATTCACTTCTTCTTAACAAAATGTCATTGTTTTTCCCTTTGAGTATTCAGAACACAGATGAGCATGCATTCTCCAGAGAGATTTTTTATGAGGACACAGTGCCAGACCACATAGAGTTTATAGGACACAGTGCTCCAAAAAGCTGGGTGCAGGTAGACTGCCTGGTGGATTCTATTTATGGCTGGCATTGAGGCAAGCTCCTTATGTACACTTCTCAGAACCGAAGAAGGTTTTGGGAGGAGAAATTTAAGAACTCTTTAATGCTTCTTATCCCAGAGAACTTTGTGATATAAGAACAGGCAAAATACATACTGTAATGAGCTCATCTAAGAGGGAAACAGGGTCTACAGGGCTGTCATATGTTTTCTTATTTGATTCACAAAGCAATATCTTGAGACAGGCAAGACACTGTTTCTATCTTTCCCCTTTCAGAGGCAAAGTAATTGATGCATCCACAGTTTTTATTTTGTTATTTTTATTTATATTTACTTTTGGCAGTACTGGGGTTTGAACTTAGGTCGTCCCACTTACTAGGCAGATGTTCTCTTACTATTGAGCCACACCTCCAGTCCTTTTTATAAAATTTCTTTTGAATTTTTTGTTTCTTTTGTATTGTTTGAGAACACTTGGTCAAAACTGCCTGTAATTCACTGCAAGGAAAACAGGTTTCCTGTATCTACGCAAATATTTTGTCCAAGTTTTCATTGGGTTGTTCATCTTTTGTTATTGGGCTCACTCATTTTTTGGTTCATTGTTTTGGTGGCACTGGGGTTTGAACTTAAGGTTTCACACTTGCTAGGCAGGTACTCTAGGTCACACTCAGTCACTCAGTTTTGTTTTTGTTTTTTGGCATTACTAGGGTTTGAACTCAGGGCAGGTGCTCTACCACTTGTGCCACTCGACCAGCCCCCACTCAGTGTTTTTAAGTAGCTACTTTAAGGAGATAAGATTTGTAAATTTTAGAAAGGGGCTACCATGTCAATTTTCAGGATTTCACACAATTTTTGCTAGAGAAGTCTGAGCTCTAGCTGTGCCCATAGAGTAAAATTAAATCTATCAAAACATCACATTGGGCACCTTACAGAGATCCAGTGAAAAACAATACACAGTAAGACATCTTTCCCTTCCAGGTCTTTTGTTCATTGTGTCACTTGGGTAAATTATTTCACATTTCTTTTCCCCAGCACTCCTAATTGGGAGTAATAATTATTTAATGCATGCAAAGGATTTAGGCTTAACACATAGAAAGTGCTTAATAAATATTAATTATAATCCTAAAGTTATCCTCAAAGAATTCATCACATATTTAGCATGCTGGTTGTATAAGTTATATGCACAAGTGCAAGTATTCAGGCTTTATACTTGAAATAATAATTCAAGAATGGCATTATTATATTCTAGACACACTAGAAATCTTATCTCTTTATGCTGAATAGCCTTCTTTGATAAAATAAAACATCACTTTCTCATTTCACATGCACATTCTTATTTCAAAAGTCCAAATCGAAAGGTACTGTCTAACTTGATTCATTTGGGCCTATTGTAATCAGGCCTGCTATGCCGCACAAGCTAAATTGCTGTAAAGAGAATGTCTCTGGGAAGTGTGCAATCTATTGAAGCAGTCCTAATTTATGCTCACAAAGCAGGATGCCTCCAGGGTATAATTGGGAAGGGCCTTGGTAGAAGAAAGATGAAAAAGCAAGATCAGATACTGTCATGGCATAAAGAATTCCATGATAAAGGATAAGTAGGTGTACAGAGATGTAGGCATAAATGCAAGTTCAAGACAGTCTACTCACAGAAAGTTGACTTGCAAGTGGGTAGCCTCCCAGAACAATCCTACACGTACCAATGGTTAAGAATCCTACACGTACCAACGGTTAAGACAGTAAGATAGGAACTGACAACAGTAATAAATACTGAAAGGAGCCAGGCATGGTGGCTTATGCCTGCAGTCCCAGTCACTTGGGAGGTGGAAACTGGATCATAATTTCAAGGCTGTTCTGGGTGAAAAGTTGGTGAGATCCCTTATCTCAGCCAACAAACTAGGCATGGTGAAGTGTTCCTGTCATCCCAGCTCTGTGGGAGGCATAAACGGGAGGATCACAGTCCCAGATGATCTAGAGGAAAAAGACATAAAACCCTACTTGAAAATAACTATCAGCAAAAAGTCCTGGGGGCATGATTCAAGTGGTAGAGCACTTGCCAAGCAAGCATGAGACACTGAATTCAAACCGCAGTACCACAAAAAATAAGTGAATAAATAAATAGATAAGTAAATAAATAAATGGATAGATAACATCATAGAATTTGATAGAATTTGTAATCTCCACCCACACGTTTGCTCACTACCTTCTAAGAAATAGCACTGTCTTGCATGAATGAGCAAAAAGAGTTTGGGAGCAGTTAGGACACTGTAGAGAATCTGCACCTTACCAATTAGCTGTAGAACCATGATTTCAGAGCTCAAATTTGAACATTACAAATCTTCCCCTGGTCAGTATTCAAAATGCTTTGAATCATTGGCCCATAAACCACACCTGTGGATGATTAGTAATATATAAGGAAGCA